CATTCATGGATCATGTGTTCAAGTTGCATGGCTTGCTCAACGTCATGATCGTGACTCGATATTTGCAAGCAAATTTTGGCAGGATGTATTTTCTATTTAGCGAACAAAGTTGCACGAGTTCAACTTATCATCCACAAATAGATCGTTAAATATCCACAAATAAAAGGTTAAATAGAGTTGGTGAATCATTTTAGAGCAGTATCTTTGGAGTATTTTCAGTGTAGATAAATGATTAACTAGAGGAATGAGCAAAGTGGCTTCCTCTAACCGAGTGGTGGTTTAACACATCTTTCCACACTTTCACCAAACAGTATATGGCGTGCCTTCTAGAATTTAGGCGTATAATTTATAAGTCAGGCCATTGTAGGAAGAGGGTCAGACATCAAAAATTTGTGCAATTAGTTCAATTGAAATGTTTCCCTTCAAGTGGGAATTTGATTAATTTCTTTATTTTCTTCTTCTTGATCATTTAAAAGATGGAATGCCTAGCGTTACCTAGAAAATATTACACTTAGATCCATAAACTATACTGCTTGTTCCATGTTTCTATTGAAATTATTTGTTTTCCCAATCAATCAAACTATCAACTGGACCATTATAATTGAATTAAGTTCATAGCAACTGCAATAATTGAGTTCATAGGATCTGCTGAGTTGAGCATAGAACCACCATCTGTCTTAATTTTGTCCATTTTTTTGTCATAATTTGACTACTCTATTCACGCATAATTTAATCGAAAAAATTATCACTTTAGACACAGCACCTCCTTCCTTCGGATAATCTTACCATAAAATGTTATGTTTGGGGTCCTGGAGAGTCCCAAGGTTTAATGTTTTGTCCCATTTTGTTTAAATTTGGGCCAAGCCATGGCTGGTGGGAAGAACTCAAAGACTAGGGTGTCGTAGAATAGGCCTGACGGGACATGCCATTTCACTCTAAAATGGAATTAATTATAAAACTACACTAATTCTAAATTACATACATTATAATATGACACTTTTATAATTTATTTATTAAATTATGACACGTAATCAGGGCAGCTCAACAGTATTAAAAAAAACTTGGACTTTAAGTCCTAAATTTTTAGAAGACATTATAATTTTACGTACATTATTAACCTAGAAAAAAATTTAAATCCACTAAATTTTAAACTCAAAAAAAAAAGGACCCCAAAAAATTAATTACAATCCAAATTTTTATTGTAATAATTTGAGTCTATGATCCAATTCAAAACATTAGAAACCTAAACATTATAAGTTGAAAAAATAAAAAATACTCAAAAATTAACTCATATTTATTCTTACACACACTCTCTCTCGATTGCTCTCTATAAAAATACGTAAAATAACATTAAAAAAAAATTGAAATTAAACTTTCTCTCTCCAATAAAAAATAAAAACAAAAATTAAAATATTTTTCTCAGTAACACTAGCATGTCATTCTCTTATCTTTCTCTCACATAATAAATTAAAAATAAATTAATTTTTTTAAAAATAATATTAAAAATAAAAAATGGCTTCATTTAAGTTTTTATTTTAGACCTCAAATTGTCTTGCCTCACTCCTGCACGTGGTTTTATTCTCGAAGACCCTCCAAACTTCACCTTGTACCTCCTCTCTTCTTTTCATTCCTTTTTTTTTTTTTTTTTTGCAAGTCTAAGTTGTACAACCACTACTTTATTTCATGCTATTATTTTATTTATCATTTCATGTCATTATTTTATTCCATCTGATATTTATACAATTTCTATTTTCATTACCTAATATTTTTACAAGTGATAATTTTGTACAAAAATTAATGATATTAACACTCTAATTTTCATTGTTAACTTGGATTTTACTCGATTCAACGTCACATCCACTTAAAAAACTTTTAGCCGAATATTAGGCAAATTTTATTTTTACAATCAATATCTTGATTTGTTAAAAATTGAGTCCAATAACCCAAACTTGAATTTGAATTTGAATTTGAATCATTATGTTATATGATGAAATTGAATTAAAAATCAAATGTAATTTGTTAATATTTAACTTGATTGAATTATTTAGAACGTGTGAAAATTATAAACCACAAATTAAATCTCTCAGATAATTGGATCGAATTCAGATTGCAGTGTTTAAATTAAATTTTAATCGGTTAAGATCAAGTTCAAAATTGATAAATTAACAAACCTAATTTCCTGAGTTAAAAATAAAATTTAAAATTTAACATAGTTATAAAAATAATAGGTTAATAAAATAGGCATAAAAATAAAATAATGGCATGTAATGACAAATGATGTCAGTATGGAAAGGATAAGGGGAGGTGCATTTTCTGAAGTTTAGTGTTGACATCATGCAAGTGAATGAGAATTTCATTCTACAAAATATAGCATCAAAAGTTATTATATTTTAAAGGATAACAATTCCTTTTTAATTTTTTAAATGTAAAATTACAATTGCTTGAGGTAAATTTATGATTGATCATGAATGTCCTTGATCGGTTGTAACTTCACATTTAAAATGCGTAACTTGACCTAAAAAAATAGTAAATTTTTTTTTAGAAGTTGTAACTTTTATTAATTTTTGAATTGTAACTTTTACCTCAAAAAAGTCTAAATTTTAGTAATATACCAAAATCCATAAATGTTCCTCATCTCTTAAAGAAACGATTTAAAAATAAAAGAAAATAAAGAGACGTGCAAGGGCGAAGCCCCCTTATGCCTAGGAGGGCATATGCTAACCGTAAATTTTTTTTTTAAAAAAAAAATTAGCTATATATATTTTAAGTACTTTTTAAATATTTTTATTTGTGCCTACCCTATATTTTTGTCGAGACCTAAAAAGGCATGATAGATCCATCAGTTTACTTGTAATTTTTATATTTATTTTATTAATTATTACAGACTTAATAGAGAACATATTTAATTTCGTAATCGAATGAATGATAAATAGTTGAGTGATAGTATGATTGTAGATATAAAAAATAATAAAATTAATGTAAAACTTTTAAAATATAAAAGATTATTGGAGTCAATTCTAAACAATTTTAATTAGTCTTTGTTTTGTAAAATGATATATGTACTTTTTTTTTTTCATTTGTATCTATTATGTTTATCAATTTTAATTTTTTGAATTTAATGAAATTTTAATTAAGAAGAATTACACCCAGACCCCCTTAAATTTGTCACTTAATCACTCAGATTTCCTGACATTTGAAATATTACACATAGACCCCTTAAAGTTTGTACATGCATAAGACTTAGACCTATATTGTAAATATATCCATTAATTAATTACACTTAAACTCCCCTAAAATTTATGGATATATAATACTTAGACCTTTTAAGTTTAAAATATTATACTTAAACAAAAAATATTCCAATCAAATATAAAATATAAAATATTTTAAATTTTACAATTACAATTCATGTTTTATTGTATCATTTATTGAAATAAAATCAAAAATAAAAATTCAATTTTTTCTTAAAAAATTATAATTAGTATACAATTATATTGTCTATTAAAAGTCTACACACTGCTAAATCTGTAACAGTGACCTTAATGGCTTTGGATCCTCAAATGGCCCGTTACTTCCCTGCAGCTAATTTAATCAAACACAAATTATGACTCCCTTATCATATTGTTACCTCAATTTTAAATTATATTACTTTGTACGTGGACCTCCTTTCCTTTTCTTCACAAGTGCCTATGCTACAATGATGTGGCACCGCAGCAAACAACCATAACAAAGGTGAGAAGCTATTAGGATCGAAGAAAATGTAAACCCCAAGTAGTATTGCATTTCATTTCTAAGAAATTCATAATAGAACAAAATAAGAAGAGGGTCCGTAACTGCAGAGTAAATGGAGAAAATGTGCATAAAAGTGCAAATAGCTCAAAAACACAACACCACAGTAGCTAACCAGTTATTTAAGCACAACATGATCTCAAGCATAAGAATCTGGGGTACATATTTAGAAGCTCGAGGCCATCTAAATCAGTCCTATATAATGTAGTTTGAGTTCACTTGTACATTATATACGGGCTGCAGCTGAATAGCTTCACATATAGAACATTGGAGTGGATAAAATTTATGAATCTTCAAACTCAAAGATCACTCCGTTTGCCTTCTTGAAATAATGCGATGTGTGATCCACCACCTACAGAAATAGGTAACTTCCATTACTGTATTTCAAATTGAACAGACACTCACAAGCTATTTAGTGCACATATTTTTTATTTTTTATTTTTGGCTTGAGATATTGGCAAATAAATTTAGTGCACATATTTGTTGAAGTATTAAGGACGAAAAGCTCTTGAAGGAGCTCAAAAAAGGCAATTTGTAAAAAGAAAAAAACAGATGAAAGACTTTTAAGTCTCAAAATCCAGCAGGGGCACAAACTAAATAGTCTCAAACTTTCATTTCCATGACTCTGTTTGAACGATATATTTTGCAATCAAAGCAATTGGCTTGCTATTAATATCAGTGATGCACAACTCAGAATGGAGCTGTAAGATGATTAAGAAGAAATATGTATAATAACAAAGACAAAACGATTCAATCAGTGGTAAGGCACAGGAGAAAATAAGTCCAGTGAATTCTCTTCTTCAGTCAGATTAGTCTTGATAGTCATTCACAAAATGGTGACATCGAGTAAATTTTTTTCGGGGATATTTTTTGGTGGGTTGAGGGTGGGGATTTAAAATTAATCTAGTATACTTTTACCCAAGCCATCTGAGTAATCATGTTCTAGCTATCCCTTTTGCGCTTTTAGTCTAGATAAGCTCTTGCTATAATGGTAAGTGAAGTAGGTGAACAAGAGCTTTTACCCAAACCCGGCTGGTTTGGGTAACCGTTACCCAAACCCGGGTGGTTTTGAAAATAATTCTCAAACTCAAATAGTTTTAAAAACGTTAGTTCAAATGACATTATTATCTTGAAAACGTCTGTTGCACTGACGTCTTCAATTCAAACCCTGGACCTCCTTTCGAAAATGCAAGAGTTCTAAAAATTTTGGACACACCTAAAAACGTTAGTCCAAATGATGTCTAACATAAAACACGTCAGTTGGACTGACGTGCTTGATGTTTTAAAAATTGCATCTAGTTTCTTCTTCCCCCATTTCCCTCTTCTCTAATTTCCCCCAAATTTTTGAACCCTAACAGATCCACCACTCTACTACCACCACAACCACCAATCCTCCATAACTATTTGAAATCAAGCTCCTCCACTTGATTTTGGAACCCACCAAGCTTGTACTCACCAGATCTGCAACCCGTAGTGCCCAACAGCCACCACTCCTCCACCGCTCCTCTACCAGTCCAGCCGACGTCTTCCTCCACCACAGAATTGGACGACCACAGCAACCAAACACCACAGCAACCAACACCAATCCTATCCAGCCGGCCTTCGTAACAGGAACCTCTCTCTCTCTCTGCGTCTTTATCTTTGTAATCTTCATTTTACAGATTTATGTACAGATTATGTAATATTTGATCAATTATTTACAAATTACTTTGTATATTTTTGATTAATTTAGGAATCATATATTTATTATATATTTCTTGTCATATAGCTATATGTAGATCTTAGCAAAAGCTGTATATCATAACTTAATATGATTCCTTTGTTTTCTTTTATAAAATTTCCATTTGTGGTGATGCATAATGAGATTTGTTTCCTTCGTTTGAATTGAGTTGGGTTTATATTATTGAATACTTCTCTTTAGTCAAATTCTTTGATGGTTTCGAATTCCTTTAGCTTGGGTTTCCATGTGTTTTGCAGATGAGCTTCTGCTCTGCAGAAATTATTTGATTACTATATAATTGTTTTCAAGAGGTGGGTTGTGGTTTCAGAAGTTGTCAACTTGTTGATCGATTGTTGATGGGCCTCAGCCTCAGTTTAATCAGGTATGTTTCTTATTCCCTAGTTTGTGATGATTTATTGATGTGAGCTTTGCATGTTTGCTTTTCAGTATTTTTGGTTGCAAAAATGTTCTTGGAATGTGAATTTTTCACTGCTTGCATGCTCTAGGAGACTAATTGAAGATGCTTGTGTTTCAGTTCAGCAGGAACTTTATGCTGTTAAAAATTCATGTATTTTTATAATTATAATAATAATACTGATCAAGCCAACCATGAGATTACTATTTGTTTGATTAAGTTTATTTTATAATTACAGCTTGCTAGGATTTACATATAGCTTTTTGATCAATAGTTTGTACTTTGTATATTTATTTACTTTGTATAACATTGTGATGATGGATAGCATCTTAGTGGATTCCCTTTTATGTTGGTTTCTGAACTATGAAAGAAATATATAAAAAAAAAAATGAATGGCATCATTGTGATGATGGTTAACATCTTAGTGGTTTCACTATCCATTTGATTGTTTTAAAAAAAGTGAATAACTAAAACTAGACTCCTATTCGGACCAAGATCCACACCTAAACCAAGTGTAATATTCCCCATTCTCCAAAGTTGTAAAACTACATCTGCCTCCAACTCTCTATATGCATCTCTCAATTATCGTTTTTCCCCCATCTAAAGCTATTCACCTCCTTTTCCATTGAACCAATACATTAAAAATGGAATCTTGGAGATTCAAGCATATTTGATGGTGAAGATGATTAAATGATTTCACTATGCTTAGAAATAGTCATAAAAACTAGCATCTTCGTAATCATTTAGTGTTTTCCAATACCATTGGCTTGCATGGGTCATTGAAACAATCTTTACAAATTGTTCAATCGTTAAATTCCATGTGTCTTTGCTTAACTAGGGCGATGTTTCTCTATTATTAACATTTGTCTATCTATCCACAGGTACTTGTTATTTCAATATTTCTTTGACTACATATAATGGCGGGAATCAAGTTACTTTATTGTTGTATTGGGGCGAGAAAATGCAATATGGATCGGAGGGGTTATGCTATTATTCTCCTCCTAGAGGTGACATTGTTATAAACAGGGACACAAAACTCCCAAAGTTATTGAGTAAAATTTACACTGTAATGGGTTGGACAGGTTGCAATACAAGTTAAGGTTGATATGTAGATATCCTGCTACACTGGGACCAAACATGAGTACATATGTCTAACTAGAAATTGGGAACGATGAACTTGTGGGTGCTACGTTTAATGAGGTAGTCAACAACCATATCATGAATAGTGTTGCTCTATATGTGAAGATAGAGGACATCAACGCATTCATAGGTGGAAGTTAGACGAGGGGTGACTAACTATCAATAGCATGTCTCACTGATTTGCTTAGACGAAAGCTAGGCCCCTTAACATTTCTAAATTTCGAGGTGGCGAGTGAATGTTCCACACCGCGTGGGGGATGCAGTTAATGGACGAGTGTGGGCAGAACATCTATACCCACCTACATTCAGGTTCTAGTACCTATGGGGGATACTCCACCCCAATGAGCTAAGAGTTTTCAAATAGGTGAGGAGGGTATTGATTTGTGTGAACCAAATTATGTCCACCAATCACTTATGCAATAGAGCTCAATTTAGGAATATGAAGAAGTATGCGTGAATGAACGCATAGATGACTCAAATGAAGAAGAAAAGTATGAGGAATTACTGATTGATGACTCGAATGATGATAATGGAGATGGTGAACCCAATGAGGCTAGTGGCGAGGTTTGTATGCATGAGTCTTACTCCCCTTTGTTCACAATGTTGAATTTGGTGAGAGTACTCTGAAGCCAACAACTTCACATCGTATGCTGAATTGAAGTTGTAGGATCCGACAAAGATGGAGTTGGTGAAGGGTATGGTTTTCAAGGATAAAACTGCATTGATTAGAACAATAAAATAGTATTCTATCAAGATGAATCAAGATTATGTGGTGGTGGAGACCAAGAAAACAATTTGGGCCTTACAGTGCAAGATGCACTTATAGCCTAGAGGCAAGTGGAGACTATGTGCTTGTTTTAGGAAAAAAACTCAAAATGATGGACCTCATACCTGCTTTTACCTTTGGATGAGTCGTGACCACAGATAGCTTGATTTGGGTTTCATACCTTATTAAGGGTAACTCATGCCTGAAGACACTATACAATGTAAATGGTTTTGAGAGAGATGATGGTCGTTAATATGTCTATTTGAGACTGTCGGATGGACTTAGTGAAGTCTACCTTATTTTATATTATAGATAGTATACACGGTCTTGTTCGTGATACCTGCAATTGAAAATGTCAACTATAAAAGAAAAGTTTGAGTATGATATCTCTTATAAGAAGGCCTACAAGGAACAAGACCATTGCCATGACGTTTGGTGATTAGGACTCAACGTACAACATGTTGCATAAATTTATGGGTGCCATCAACAAGTATGCCCCGACTTGATTGTGAAATGGCGATACACCTATGAATTTGATAAACATAATGTGTTTTTTCGAGTATTATGAGCATTGATGGGTTTGCACATTGTTGACACGTTATCAGTATTGCTAGGACCTTCTGGCGTGGGACGTATAAAGCGAAACTGTTAGTTGAGATGGGATTTGATGCTAATAAGCAATTGTTCTCTATTGCATTTGCTATCGTGGAAGAGGAGAATCATGCAAGTTGAACTTTTTTCCTATATCACCTAAGTAGGTAGTTGTCAGGGATCGCGAAAGGGTATGTTTGATTTCAAATAGGTACAAGGGAATAATTTCTGCTAAGGACTTGAAAGATTCTGATTGGCATCCGCCACGTACTTATCACCTCTTTTTTCTTAGGCATGTGCACAATAACTTTAATTCAAAGTTCAAGATCACGCCCACTGTACGATCTACTCTAGAGGGCCAGCAAAGAGCGACATGTACAAAAGTTCAATGGGTTGATGATGTAGATAAGCACTGCCAATGAAGGGGCGGATGAGTACTTGAATGGGACATCAGTGGAGTAGTGGACACTAGCCCATGATGAAGGACGACGATATGACATAATGACTACCAATATTTCAAAGGTTTTCAATAGTGTTCTTTAAGGTGCAAGATTTTTGCCCATAATTGCTTGTGTGTAATCGACCTTTTATCGGGTGAATAAGCTTCATTACGAACGTCGGGATGAGACGACAAAATAGAAAGAAAATAGTTTGTTCTTCTCTAACGATGTTATCGATTGAGTAAAATATTCGTAGAAAAAGCCCCGTGTGCATGATGTGAGGCCATTTCACTGGGTTTGTGGGCTCGTTGATGTGGTGACTGAAAGTGGTAAGAAATAAGTTGTTTGTCTTGCCGACTGTTTGCGCACATGTGGAATATGGGTCATATTTAGAATTCCTTACTTTAATGTGTTAGTTGTATGCTTTTTTTTCAAATTGGATTTTCAAGTTTTTATAGATCCTGTTTACAACATCAATTCTTTAGAGAACACTTGGGTCCCCGAAATATATACTCTAAAGCATAAAGATTATTTGGATGATCTTGCATATCCCAATTTAGTCCCAAATCACGACCAACGGCGAGAACTGATTGGTCGTCCAATGAGATGAACTTCTCGCTTAAAGGTCATAATCACATATATTGTGGGTTGTGCGGCGAAACGGGTCACAATCGTTGGAAGTGTCCATCCACAAACAATCAAGCTTCATCATCCCTTCATTAACCATATGTTGTAAGAGGTTACACGTAATGTTTGAAATATTATATGCTGTAATATTAATTGTGTGATATCTTGTATGTTTTTTCAACCTCTTCATAACGTTTTGCAATATTCCAAGTTTTGGGCTTTATTAAAATCTTTTTTCACTAGATGAATCTATCGTATTGCTATCTTACATACTATGTTGATATCTTAGTTTGATATAAATAATGTTTTGGTTTATTTTGCAGATTTTAGTTCTGGCATGGAGACTGATAGTAGACAGTTATTACATTCCGGTCCAGATGACCATTCAGTGTTTTCATTGCTGGCAGAGCATCGTTCAAAGGATATATGGCAAGGCTCAGACTCCCCACCTTTGCATTGTATGCGTGCTCGCACCTTTCCACAACTATATGTTACTGATGAACGAGTCCTCCGACATTTGCTTACAACGGGGTTTTACAGTAAACACAAGGTCACATCAAAGCAGCTTGATTGACATCTCATCACATCCCTAATTAAGAGGTTGTATGTTGAGACTCACACGTTCGACCTTCGGTGGGTGAGGCAACTATCTCACTGTAGGATGTTGCAATTCTTATTAGACTACCAATCGATGGTATGACAGTGTGTGGTAGGGATAACTGTCCTAAGAGCTTAACTTGGCCAACACAATGCTGAGTTACTTGGTTTTACACCTGCTACAAGAGTTATAGACGGTTCTTTCCTTAGACTCTACGCGTTGCAAGCTCATTTGGATGGAGGAGTCCCCGTCGACATAGTTGTCAAATCGCGATTGTATTGTGAATTGGAATCTTAAATTCGAGAATCGTGAATCGAAATCCTAAATTTGAGAATCGTAAGATTCGACACAAAATTTGAACAAAAATAAAAAATAACATTTACATATTTAAAATATCCAAAATATTAAATATTGAACATTATTGCATTTTAAAAATAATCAATTGACATAATCACGTTGTTTAAATAAAAAGACGCTAACATTTTACTTCATTTTCATCTTTTACTTAACCATTTTTAAATTCAACAACTTGAAAAAAAAATTCATTAAAGAACTATAGCGCTATTCAAGAACTAAAATAGTGACACCCAGTACAGATTAAGTTACAAACATGAATGAAAAAAATATATATAAGAAAATTGATTGGGAGAAAATATACAAGCTAATATTTTGAAATAAAAAATTAGAATCTAACAAACTATTCATGAAAGAATTGAGAGCAAACATCAAAATTTATTCTAACATATGATGATAAAAGATAGAAAAATTCAATAAAAAAAAAAAGAAAAAAAAAGGCATGCTAGGGCTTGCTTACTATTAAGAAGAAGAAGAGAAACAAGAAGCATACCTTCAGCCGATGACATGAGAGCTTTGGTTGTGACCTTCCGCTTCAAATAACGTGAGGTAAGCTTTAGACAACACGAGAAAGAGATAACGAGCAAAGAGACTGAGTTTTTATTAGGGCGTGGGTTCCTCTACTAATAAAATGACGTCGTTTTACTATTTAGCGTACAAAATAATATCGTTTTTCCAAAAATTTGGGTTTTAAAAGAAAGTGATTTAATCGTATGATTCGTACGATACGAATCGAATCGTATGAATTGTATGATTCAAATGTGATAACTCTAAAAACGATTCTCATATAAGATATGAATCATTGTTTACCAGTATCGAACTGACTTGTACAAATCGAATCTCGAATCATACGATTTTGATAACTATGCACGTCCATACTACTGAGAATTTCATAGCATGTTATGTCAGAGCAAACATCATACTATTGATTAATGCGTATTTGTTCATAGACAAGTCATCGAGCAAGGTTAAGTTCATGTACCTTCCCTTTCTCGCTAATCTTCCTGTTACCAACATGTACAATTGGGGTTGCATTGCATTGGCCTAGCTGTACTAAGAGATGTGCATCGCGACAAGACGTGACGCTAAGGACATCAATGGATTGCTTGTTATGCTACAAGTATACTTTGACCATCATTTTAGTTGTACATATTTTAGTATAAGTGCATTGTAATGTGACATTCAAAAAAATTTCAATAATAATTCTCTAATTTATGTGATTGTAGGCATGGAAGCATTTAGCACACATCCGTCCACAGAGATTGCTCTCATGTGGGCTTGCAGCCCATGGAGCAAAAGATGGTAGAGACTTACATGCGGAGAAGGTATGATGATGCAGATGGTGCACAACCTGCACCATATGATGCTGATTGCTGTTGCACCTCCACCTGCACCACATGCCGCTCCACCGAATGTGTTGCTTGTAGACCCTCATGGGTGTAAGTAGGACAATATATAATTAAACAATTCATGTGTTACATGTAAGTCTTGCAAACTAATTAAATTTTTTTTGGTTTGTTACGGTTGGGATGTGGCATTTTCTGAGTAACACACCCCTTCACATGTTCTCAGACATTATAAAAATCAGCTTGACCAAATCTGAGATGAGCGATATAATAACACTTTAACCTATATGCTCAGGATAAGCATGTTCTCAGATATTTTGGGTGTTTATATGGTTTGTGGTTTATGGCTGATGATTGGCTTGTGTTATATGGTTGTTGGTTGGTTTTGTCATGGTTGGTATTCATGGTGGGGTGTTTTTATGATTAGTGGATGTTTGGTGGTTGGTTTTGATGGATGGTTGTGTTTATTGTGTTTGCGATTATTGTCAATTATATTTAGGTTATTAATTGCAATCAGGTTCTTAATTTTTTGGGGTCCTATTTACAGTGGAGACTTTGCCGAAATTTTTTTTTAAATGTGCCACAACAATTTCATTATCATTCTCAAATTGCAGATGATATGACAACTTTTCACAGTTGCTATATTGGATAGTTTACCTGAGTATTGTCTAGTGGGGCGTGATTTGAGGATAAAACGGTTATATGTTTTGATGTGGTAAAACATCATTTCCCCGATCGTGTTCTGAGTTTTGGTTTGACACAGCCAAGACCCACAACAACGTCTAATTTGGGTAGGGAGCTACATGCGTGACTTTCACAAGGAGCCAATCAACATGCATAACCCTTTCAAAGAAGTCAGTCATATAATTATTGGACCTGCAACCATTGTTTTGCCTCTAGAGTTCTATTACTATTTACGGGAACCAAGGTGGTTGAAATCTTATTTCAAGCGTTGTAAGCTTAAAGTATATTGTCGTTGGCATGCATTACGAGTGTCGTAGGCACGTTTAGCTGATGGGTACATGGATTGGTGCACAAACAACTATAATGATATCGTTGCAAGACTTGAACGTGAGAATGATCAAATGCAACAACGTCTGGATCGATTCCACTTTATCAAAAAGCAAAGAAAGAGCATTTAGATCCTATCGAGGCTATTAATGAAATAATGGGGGTTCCATTATTGGCTTCTGACCATGAACTTTTTGATTTTGATGATTCAAGTGATGATGATTATGAAAAATTTCTCACAACTAGTCTGTGTGCACGCGACAAACTACTATGTTGTTGAGAACATTGTCCTCATTAGAAAACATATATTGTTGTATGTTTGTCTGTTTCATGTCGTATAAACATGATCATTTGTAAATATTTCTATTTCACATAAATAAAATAACTATTATGTTTTTAAGATTTGTGTTACAACCCATCATAAAAATTTGTGTCAAATAATTTATATGCACTATAGGAGTTGAATAGTTTTGTTAAAAAAGAAAAAAAATTCTTAGGTATCATCCCTCAAAATTAAGATTACAATTAACTGTGTCAACATTGGAAAAGATTATATTTGGAAAACAAAAAAAATTGGCAGTTGCCAATACAAAAGACGTCAGTCGGACTGACTTTTTTACACAAAAGTTGTCCATCTGAATGATGTTTTTTGTGTTAAAGATGCCAGACCGATTGACTTTTTTAAGCTCAGTTATCCTAAATTAATCTAAACAACATTAATTAGACTGACGTCTTTATCGTCATTTCATTTAGACCAACATTTTTAAAACTACATGTGTTCGGGAATTATTTTCAAAACCACCCGGGATTTGATAATAGTTTCCCAAACCAGCCAGGTATGGGTAAAAGCTTGGGTAAACAACGTTTGTCATCACAAATTACCTCCTTAAGGACATAATGGATCATCAACCTTTAAAAACTTGGTTCAACACAATTATAGTACAGGAAGGAAGCAATCATTATAACGTATATGTATAACTTCAACTAAAAATTTCTCGAGCAGTGGGAATGTGTATTAGTTGTTCAATCCTCAAAATTTCTTAAGTAAATGGGGGGGTAGATAATGTTTGTCATCACAAATTACTTCATCAAGGACATAATGAATCATCAACCTTAAGAAACTTGGTTCAACACCATCATAGTACGGGAAGGAAACAATCATTATACCGTATATACGTATTAGGTGTTCGATTATAAAAAGTTCTTGAATCAAATGGATGATGATAGTGAAGTCAGTGTATGCAGTAAATAATGGGAGAGAAATGCTAGCTCACATTGGTATTGCTCAACTCCAGATTGTAAAAGTCCATCGAATCTTCCTTGAACAACGGCCCAGCATGCCATGTACCGCGATTCAGCTTCAGAAACTTGGGACCTGAAACTCTGAAAACAAGCACATCATCAACAGCTGGTGGCAAATAGAAATGGCCACAGCGAGACTTCACAACCTCCGCTCCATTGACGCCCTTAATTTCACTCGGATCCTCAACAATGGATGTCCTAGCAACCCCAAGATACCAAACATGGCCACCTATCGAACCAAGGCACTGAGTAACACTCGCGTGATGGGTAATCGACGAGAATTTGAGTTTCCGGTCTTCAAGATGCATAATGTGGAACCTGCTCGATAATATGCCTCAAATAACCACCACCACTACAACAACCAATAAAGCCCTAAGGAGAGAGAGAAAGTGAATATAATCATACAAAGAGAGAAATCATGAGGACCTTGGAATGCCTTGGCTGAGGTCTAGCTGAGCGTCTCGAGGTCCAAACTCTTCACCGTCCGGTGACGCCTCGATTACTTGGCCGAACTCCTTGAAGGTCTCTGGAGTGGCTTCGATTAAATCTAGCTTCACCACCGCCGGCGACAGTACTGGTTCGCCAGACGATCCCATTTTTAGCTGATGAGAGAGAATATGAGCAAATAGAACCAATTCGTCCCAATCATTTTCTTCGCATTCCTAGCCTTTAGTTATTCCTGATAGATCAAGGAAACCAACCGCACTGATTCCATACATAATGGAGAGACATCGTTACAGTTTAAAAAACGCCGTCGTTCTTATAGTTGCTACATGCTACGGGTTTGTTTGTCGAAATTTGCAGAGGTTTTTTTTCTTGAAATTGTATGGACAAATATAAGGGAGAATTATATTTTGCACCCTAAAAGATTTAAAAAAATTTACTTTGTAACCTCTATTAATTTTTTTACATTGCACTCTATTTAAACATGGCTCTTCTATCAATTTTCATTGTTTATTCTATCAAAAATCACTCGATTAATATGACAAAATGAGCAATGACAATTAATGTAAGAGTTATATTACAATTTTTTTAATACACCGATGTACAATAAAAAAAAATAATCTTTAAATGTGCAAAATAAATTTTTTAAAATTTTCAAAGTGCAAAATATAATTCACCCAAAATATGTGAATTTTAAGTCGTTAAGAACTTGAGAAATTTTATCTCTAAATTTTTTTGAGTATGTTAAAGTTCTAATTTATTCATTTACAAAACAAGATTTTGTTCAAGCATAATCTATCACATGTCCTATGTAATCACTCCTCACCCGCCGCCCCCACCAAATAATATTTATTCGATTCCTTCAAAATAAAATTTCTATAATTCCATAATTTTATTATAATTCTTTATCTAATATTATAATTTCTTAGAGACGGAGAAAGGAAAAAAAAGATTAGACAAGTTATAAATAGGTCAAGGGTTTATACTTGTCCGTAGTAATGATGAATTGTTTTATGCCTTTTTTTGTTTTGTTTTGTCTTATGTGTATTTTTCCATTTTTAAAATTTCCCTTTACTCCTTAAATGAGTATTGTCTCATTTATTATTAGTGTATTATTAAAAAATTATAATATTTGATTCTTTATTTTAAATTTACATAAAAAATTAAGGGTTAATTGTATTAGAGATCCCTAAAATATGAGTTTATCTTATTTTAGTCATCAATATTTCAATTACATTATTTTAGTCTCTGAAGTATTAAATATATTTCTATATGATCCATCAAGTAAACAACATCTTAATTGCTAATTATTTTTGATTATAAACTTGACATGTAATACTTAATTATTTAAAAAAAAAATTTGAATAATTTTTGATCAAATTTCTATCAAAATTTTGGTCAAATAGCTATAAAAAATTACACATTTTTTCTCATGAATTATTCAAATTTTGGTTAAGAGCTACACATATTACATATTTTTTTTTAAGAACTATCTAAATTTTAGACGAGAGCTACTTAAATTATTTTTTACTCATATTTAGATATCACGTGATAAATTTATGATAAAAAACTATTAATAATTTGGATCTTATTTGCTTCGGGAATCACATAGAAGACTAAAATAGAATAAATTCTATACTTCAGGCACCTAGTGCAATTAACCCAAAAATTAATGAGTTCAAGACGCAGCAATTAACAAACACGGCCGAGGCCTTCGGTCTTTCTCTCTCCTCAAAGTTCAAACTCCTTAACTGCGCTCTCATGCCAAAACCCTAACACCAGACAATGAACGCGCCACCACAACCACCACCGTCACTCTTCCAAAAACCTCCCTTAACAACCAGTCAGCTCATCCAAACAATCACCACAATCCTCACGTCCTCCACTACTGCCCCTCCGCACAACTCCATGGCCCCATACACTCCCTACCTCACTCCACCCATCATCCACTCCATCCTATCCTCCAAATCTCTCTCCTCCCGCCCCAACACTCTCCTCTCCTTCTTCAAATGGGCCCACTCTCACGTCCCCTCTTTCTCTCTCACACAATCACACACCACTCTCCCTTCTCTCCTCATCCTCTTATCTTCCCTCTTCTCCCACAACAAATTCACTGATGCCAAATCACTTCTAGTCGAATTCATTTCCTCCGATGGCCACCATGACCTCCACCGTTCCCTCCTCCATCCTTCACGGTCCCATCCACGTTCCTCTAAAGCCCTTCTTGACACTGCCATTGGTGCTTATGTTCAATGTAATCGGCCCCATTTGGCCGCACAGGTTTTGAAGAAAATGAAGCGCCTCCGCCTCCGCCCAAACTTACTCACTTGTAATACCCTCCTCAATTCATTGGTAAAGTTCCCATCTTCACAATCAGTTTCATTAAGTAGAGAAATCTTTAATGATGCTATTAAACTTGGTGTAGCCCCGAATACGAATACTTGTAATATATTGATTAATGGATATTGTTTAGAAAATAAATTCAAGGATGCTATAGAGTTGTTGAACGGGATGTGTAAATTTGAGTGTAAGCCAGATAATGTGACTTATAATACTATATTGGATGCGTTGTGTAAGAAGGGGAGGTTGAATGAGGTGAGGGATTTGTTGTTGGACATGAAGAATAGGGGGTTGATGCCTAATAGGAATACATATAATATTCTGGTTTATGGGTATTGTAAGATGGGATGGTTGAAAGAGGCTGCTAAGGTTTTTGAGTTGATGACACAGAACAATTTATTGCCGGACATTTGGACTTATAATATGTTGATTAATGGATTGTGTAATGAGGGCAAGATTGAGGAAGCTTTTAGGCTTCGAGATGAGATGGAGAGTTTGAAATTGCTGCCTGATGTGGTTACTTATAATACATTGATCAATGGGTGTCTTGACTGGAAAGGCAGTTCAGATGGATTCAGGTTGCTTGAGGAAATGAGGGAGAGAGGAGTGAAACAGAATGAGGTCACACACAATATAATGATTAAGTGGTATTGTAAGGAAGGAAAGATGGATGAAGCTAGTGATATTGTTCAGAAGATGGAAGAATGTGGATTTTCCCCAGATTGTGTGACATTCAACACTTTGATAAATGGATACTGTAAAGCAGGGAATTTGGGGGAAGCTTATAAGATGATGAACGAAATAGGTCGAAAGGGGTTGAAGATGGATACTGTTACCCTCAATACCGTTCTTCACACTCTTTGTGGTGAGAGGAAGCTTAACGAGGCCCATGAGTTACTTAATAGTGGGAGTAAGCGAGGTTATATTGTTGACGAAGTAAGCTATGGCACCTTGATTGTGGGGTATTTCAAGGATGGAAATGTGGACAAAGCTATGAAGCTTTGGGATGAGATAAAGGAGAAAGAGATCATTCCTAGTGTGGTCACATATAACTCTGTTATCGGAGGGCTCTGCAAGTCACGAAAAACTGAACAAGCAATAACTAAGCTGAATGAACTTCTGGAAAATGGGTTGGTTCCAGATGAAACGACATACAACACGATTATTCACGGTTACTGTTGGGAGGGAAATGTCGAGAAAGCATTTCAGTTTCACAACAAAATGGTTGAGAATTCATTTAAGCCTGATATTATTACGTGTAATATTCTTCTTCGTGGGCTTTGTACAGAAGGGATGCTAGAAAAGGCTCTTAAGCTCTTTAGCACTTGGATCTCAAACGGAAAAACCATGGATGCAGTAACATACAACACATTGATAACAGCTCTATGCAAAGATGGGAGACTAAAGGATGCTTTGAGTCTTGTTGCAGAAATGGAAGAAAAGAACTTGGGGCCTGATCACTATACATACAATGCCATTCTCGGTGCACTTACTGATGCTGGGAGGATCAAAGAAGCAGAGGAGTCGATGTCTAAAATGGTTGCAGCAGGAAAGTTAACAGGATTTCCCTTTCAAATGGATAAGGGCGAAGAAGTTGTTACTGGTGAAACTCCGGAGGTAGTGAATCCAAGTTCTATAGCTTATTCAGAACAGATCAATGACCTATGTTCCAAAGGGCAATACAAGGATGCAATGCATATTTTTGGACAGTTGACACAAAAGGGTATTGCTGTAAATAAATCCACCTATATCATTCTGATGAATGGACTTATCAAAAGGAAAAAAAGTACATCAAAACGAGCCTAATTGTTCTAATTGTGCGCTAACTACTCTCCTCTACACTGTCAAGTGGATTGGTTTAATTGCATGCATCACATAAGCTTTGCTGCGACTCAATCAGGCAAGGAGTCCAGGTACACACACACACTCTCTCTCTCTCTCTAAGCCTAATTGTTCTAATTGTGCCTTAACTACTCTCCTTTACATGCCATGTGGGCTCTTAATTGCATGTATCACATAAGCTTTGCTGTAACTCAATCAGGCAAGGAGTCTAGGTACATTCTCTCTCTCTCTCTCTCTCTCTCTCTCTCTCGTTGGAAATTGAAGAAGACTGATACCGTATGGCTGGAAATAGTTGGGATAAAGGCTTTATTGTGTTGAGCCTATTTTCACCCTCCAAAAGAAAGCCTATGACCATTTTCACCTTCCAAAAAAGAGCATATGACCATTTTCATCTCCTGCCAAAAAATGCATATGACCATGTTCTCATATAATTTGTGTAGATTATCCATGATTGGAAGCTGTAGTTGCCTAGCTTTCATTTGTTTGCCTTCAATGACAGGACATATGTGGTCTTTCTATAGGTTAGTGTTTTTCTTAGGTATTTGGAAAAACTAGTAGACATAAAGATTCAGAGCATAGATACAATAATAACATATATTCATGTGGATGGACCATATTCTTGGGTAATGTAAGGCCTTTTATCCGTGGTAGGTGATTTATTAGTCTTGAGGCATGAGGGGTAAGCTTTCCAAGTTTTATTTTTTATATTTGAGAATTGTATTTTAAGAAATTAAAAACAGTACTAGTTTATTAGATTGACACCAGTTAATCTCAGTTTTCCTTCCCCTCCAATTCCACCCAATTTATTTGGCATCATAGTTATTCATATCATACGATATGCGATATGTATCGTACAATACGTCATGATAAAACAATACGAATTGGAGTTTAGTATCGTTCTTGCATAGTATCGTCCGATATAGGATACGCTTCTTACAATACGATACGTTTCGGTCGATACACTCAATACGTAAAAGTCTCTGAATTTTTTTTTGATTGGAACATTGTTTTCAACCGAAGTCTTAATTTTTTTTCCCTATGGCCACTGAAACGACATCGTTTCAGTGGCTAGGGTTTACAAAAAAAATAAATGCTTCTCTTCTTCTTCGATGAAGCCTAAGTCCCTCTTCTCTTTTCTTCATTGATGAACCCAGCGAAGCCATCGAAGCTGCAGAAGGGAGAAGACCATCGACTGCATTTTGCGACTGCTACTTCTTCCTCTGGATCTGCACTTGCCTTCTTCTTCCTTCTGGGTCTGCGACTGCTACTTCCTCTGGTCTATGATTGCTTCTTCGACGGGTCTGCAACTGCTTCTTTGACTGGTCTGCGACTGCTTCTCTCTTTTCATTCCTTCTGGGTCTGCCTCACTGCGACTGCTTCTTGTGCCTGCAACAAAGCCAAAAATAAAAAAATAAGTTTGTAAGTACACCATTACAAATATTAATAATGATGATGATGATGATGCATTTCCAATTGAAATTGAAGATTGAATTCAAAATGGATGTTAAAAGTTTGGATTAAAAGTCTCTTGGGTGTTAGGAGTTTAAATTAGTGAACTATGATGGGAACTTTGTCTTCTAATATTAGTGAACTATGTTGGTAACTTGAATAGTTGGTGGAATATTAATGAAATGCAATATTTGTGAGTCTATGATTTTTTTTTACAAAGGTATATATATTTTATTAGTAATTATTTAAAATTGCGCCATATGTTACGATACACAATATAATCCGATATACTATTTTTAAAAAACGATGCACCTTTCGATACGCGATTTAACAACAATGCGTGGCATAGTCGCTGAAAGTAGACGAGAAATCAGCTACACTGGACAAGGCAACCCCTTCAGCTCCTTCAATGAGGCTATTAGCTTTGGTCTTTTGGCCAAAGATGATTGATATGGGGCATAAATATTCAATAGACTTTGTTATTTATCAAACATATGGTTTTGATTTCTTGGGTTAATTAAGGGGCCCAATGCAGTCGTCCTGCTAAGTGTTTGCCTGAGAAACTAAAGTGCAAAAAGCGATCTTATTATGCCTCAGGCAAAAGATAGGTGCTAGAAGCATACGCTTTGGAGGACCTATGCATTTCCTATGCGTCTCAATGCGCTTTTAGTTTGCCTTGCCTCAAAACTAGCCTGAATCTTGCTTGTGAAGGCACTGCTTAAAACAATGTAAGATATGCTTTGTGAATATGCAGATGACCTTCTTTATATCTGACTGAGAATTTCTTAGTAAGAAGGTAGGAGGGCATGCATAACACAAAATCAGAGATTTGGAGATATTTCTAATGAGTCATAACTGTTTTGGTCATTTGTGCTATTTTTCTTCACGTTTTCTAGACATGGAGCAAAGCAGGTGATTTATTTCAACTCATGTAGGAATTATGGATTTTGAAGTTTTTAAAGTAATGAGGTGCAATAATGAGAACCTTCATAATTGTAGTGTTATGCATAAGCTGGTTTACAGTAAAAAGAAGAGGTAGAGTGTCAGTTTCCATGCTGAAGACCTGTGACATTTATAGGAGGGAATTACCCTTTTGGGGCGTAGAGAGGATGAATCCCACTATTGGCCTGCTGGAATTCAGTTATCTGCAACTAATATGCATTAGTAAGGTGATGGAGAGGAGAATCCTTGCTGGAAAACAAGAGATATATAAATCATGCTGCTTCTTTTTGCCCTTTATGCTTTTTTTTTTTTTTTTTTTCCGTTTTAAATGTACTGTTCTATCATCATGGATTAGATTCACTAATGTCCTGGATGGTTTATACCCACTGTTGGTTGTGTTGCAGTTTTTCTACCCATATATGGGACCTCAATCACGATTGGAAGTTGATTGAATTGTTTGAGAAGGCAGTTGTGATGAAATGCAGCTGCAATGAAGATAACTTTTGTTTTTTTGGGGTAATGAGGAACCTCTACAAGGTAGGGCCATATTGGATCCACCTTTGCAGAGTAAACCCCCGATTCAAGATATCTTCAATCACCCGCTAACCACAGGTATCATCCAGAAGATAACTGTTTTATTGTTATCTATTACTTAACTTATTAACCAGAAGTTTTCTGTTTTGTTCACTCATGCCTGTGTGATCGAGTTTCAGTTGTATAAGTGGTGGCAACTTTTGCGGCACTAGTGAGATGAAGAGATTTGCCAGTTGACCTACAAATATTTGTTCCAGATTGTAAGTGGATGAGTCTGAAGTCTCTGTTTCTTGCATGGAGGCTGTGAAGGTGAAGATGATATCAAAAAAAGTTGCATTCCTACTTTCTTATCCACCGTGATGGGTTGGTGAATGATAATCATTGGACTTCTCAGAAATGGGGTAATTTACAAAGGAGAAAATTTTTTTCCATCATAAAGCATGGGTGAGAAAGAGACTTCCATCTAAGAACCGGGATGTTATATCTGCCATGCTTTTAAGGTCGGAAATGAGGACAATCTCTTTTGCAAGGATGAGGGTTAATGATCTTTGACACAACTTTAAGGAGAAATTGAATGATGTATGGAATAATGAAAGCACTTGGGAGATAGTTTTGAGGGTGAAACTCCTGTGGAGTGATTGGGAATGATAATGATGCAAATTAAATGCTACTTTGAGGGTGTAGGATATAGTCCTACAGTCGAAGGCATTGGTCTGTGATTGAAGTGTGGAGTTTTAGATTGGGACATGTATGGTGTTTCCCTGATCAGTGGCTTTTGTGACTCCACATCCATATTTTGTGATGTTCTAGTGAATAGAACGAAGTATTTGATTATTTTGATCGAGCAGCTCTTCATCTCTGATTTTTTTTGTCATTGTCAAGCATGATTGGCATGGGAAGAAAATGAAATATATTGTGGAGTTATTGAAAAATTTAGATTCCCACAGCAAAAAATTATTGAGGGTGTAAGAATAAGTAGTCTTGAACTTCATTTCGGAAGGGTACTCCAAAAAAGAAAATTTAGTAGCTCCATAAATGTAGCGCATTTGCATCTCTGTGGAGGGAATTACAAACTTGTACAACTGTTTAAATGTATTTGTTCTGTTTGGTCTTCTCTCTCTTTATTATCAGATAATAGTTCGGACTTGACTACGGTATCAAAAAAAAATTGGTATCGTACCTCTAAAATTTAATACTTTACAACCTAAAAATTCACTATTTTGTGCGGATGGTTAATCATTTTTATGGTTATTTTTATTACCGTTGTAATTATTTGCATCACTTCTTTTTGATATAAAAAATATTAGGAAAAATTTTAACCACACCCCCTTTAGTTTATCATATTGTTAAAGATACCTTTTCTATTTTTCGAATTTTCATCGACATTAGGGGTGTTCACCCTACCTTATGGGTAGGAAATATAGTCTTCTGTCTTTCTATTCGAAATTTTGAGAAAGTTTTTTTTTCTTGGCCTACCCTATCCGATCATGTGTGGTATTCTAACCTGATTTTTTACCCGATTAATTGGGTAGGAAGTTTGGTAAACACTTTTGTAAATATTAATTTTTGGATCATTTTAACGATTCAATTAAATAATATACACCAATTTAACAACACAATAAATCAATAACGCTAAAACCTAAAACTACTACAACAACAATTACAATAAAATATAGAAATCATGAACATCAATCCATTATAATTGTTACACAAATATAATAACAATTATTTTAAATTTAAACCATATGAAATATATTAAAATCATAACTATTCCAATAAATCACTAGTTCACCTCAAATCATGTAACTTACACAGAAAACAAGTCCATGTTTTCTCAACTCAAACATTTACAACAATAACAATGTTATAATATAAATTATACTACACAAATACTTTTATAATTATTAAAAAAAATATAAAAAATTAAATATATTTTTTATGGGTAAGGTAGGGTAGGAATACGGAAATTGATGGGTATTTTGTATTCTTACCCAATTTAATCGAAAAATCAAAAACTCTTTTGTATTCCTACTCGATTTTTGAGGCTAGTCGTTCAATAGGGTAGGGTTGGATATGATAGGAAATTGCGGCCAATCGAAAATTTGAATACCCCTAACTGACACCTCCTGTCAAATTAAAAATATTAACTAAAATATAATTTTACTAAATTGCACGTGATATATTTGAGGATAAACTTCATTCACACCCCTCTAGATAAACATATCTTCAATGAAACCCTCCTTTATTTTCTAAATTTTTTTACGTAATAAAATTCAAACTGATTAAAATTCGATTCAAGTTAATTAAATTTTTTTTACATATTAAAATTTGAGCCGATTAAAAATTATATTTTTTATTGATTAAAATATGGGCTAATTAAAATTCTATTTGAGCCAATTAAAAATTAGTTTTAATCGACTCAAATCAAATTTTAATCAACTTGTATTTAATCATAATAGGCCAAAATTTTAATAAATAAAAAAATATAAATTTTAATTGACTCAAATTTTAATAAATCAAATTTTAATTAACATGAATTTTAATAAGTAAAAAAATATAAATTTTAATCGACTCGAAAACGAATTTTAATCAGCGCTAATAATTGGGATAGAGTTCAAATCGGATCAAATTTTAACACATAAAAAATAAATTTTAATAATCTCTAATTTTAATACATTAAAAAAATAAAATCTAATCAATTTCAATCGAATTTTAATTATTTCAAATTTTAATATGTAAAAAACTAAATTTTAATCGGCTCAAATTTTAATAAAATTTTATGTAAAAAAATTACTTGAGGTTTATGTAGGGGCATTTTTGGTATTTTAGACAAATTATTTTTGTTAGAAATGATAGTTTAATGATAAGAGGTGTTAGTGATGTTTAAATATAAACTAAAATGACTGTTAGTGATGTTTTTGATAATAAATAGGGTATCCTTGAAGATATGATAAACTAAGAGGGGTGTGACTGAAATTTTTCCCAAATATTATCACTTTTGTGGGTTTATGTGCCACTTTGGTGGGTTTTTTTTATCGTTGGTATAGTAATTATTTTTATCACTTTTGTTTAGTATATTTATAATAATGATAAAAATACTCAAATAAGATAAATGTCGGTACAATACCGAAATTTTATTACACTCTCACATCTCACCAAAATATTACTCTGAAAGTCACTCATTTTATGTTTATATTTATGACATTAGATTGTTTTTGCTGTCAATTAATTTTTATTAGATGAAAAGTGAAACTTTGGTATCCAAAATTATGTTTTCATACATAGTCCGACCCAATAATAAACTATACATGTTACTATTATACTTTGTAAAATAACTAATTATTGTTTGTATCTGAAGGTACAGAATAATATAAAAATTATCAATCATAAACATATTTGTATTTACATCGAAAATTAAATACAGACATAGAGAGAGAGAGAGAAATGAATTGAACCATCGATTGTAGTAAGAGGTGAGCAATGGTAGTGGTGATGGGCGACGACGATCGTGATGGTGGTGACAGTCGCGGGTGACAACAATGATGGTGGTGGTGGGTTTTTGGGTGACGATGGTGGTGGGCGACGATGATGGTGGTTGGCAATGGTGGTGGTGGGGTGACGATGATAGTGGTGGTGGTGGTGGGCGATGATGATGGAGGTGGTGATGGATGTGAGTGGTGGTGGTCGACAATGAGTGTTTGTGGGCGACGGTGGTGATAGGTTGTGGCGAATGGCGATGGTGGTGGTAAGTGGGTGACAGTGGGTGGCGACGGTAGTGGACAATGACGAATGGTGATGGTTAGTGGTGGTAGGTGTGGTGGAGGTCGGCGATAATGGGCGACGTTGTGTGGTGGTGTGCTGTGGTAGTGGGTTGCAGTGGGTGGTGGTGGTGAGATGATGGTAGTGGTAATTGTAATAAATATAAGAATAAGACGATGACAGTGGTGATGAGTAACATTGGTAGTAATCAATTATGGGGGGTTATGGTGGTGGTTGTGGCAAAAGTGGTGGCAGTGGTGGTGGTGGGGTGGCCGCAGCGGTAGTGGCGGTAATGGTGGTGGGGTGGCCGCAACGGTGGTGGTGGGATGATGGTAGTGGTAATTGTAATAAATATAAAAATAAGATGATGACAGTGATGATGAGTAACATTGGTAGCAATCAGTTATGGGGATGGGGGGTGGTGGTGGTGGTGGTTGTGGCAAAAGTGGTGGCAGTGGTGGTGGTGGGGTGATGACAACAGTGGTGGTGGGGTGGCCGCAACGACGGTGGTGGGATGATAATAGTGGTAATTGTAATAAATATAAGAACAAGATGATGATAGTGATGATGAGTAACATTGGTAGCAATCAGTTATTGGGGGTGGTAGTTGTGGTTGTGGCAAAAGTGGTGGCAGTGGTTGTGGTAGTGGTGGTTGTGGCAAAAGTTGTGGTAATGGTGATGGTGGAGTGATGACAATAGTAGTGGTGGCGATAGTGGTGGTGGGGTGGCCGCAATGGTGGTGGTGGTGAAATGTGTTGTAGAGAAGTGATTTTAAAGAAGTAGAAGTAATTTTTTTTTTACTTTTACTTACTTAATTAAATGGTAAAAACTAATTTTGAGTTATTTGAAAATAATTAAAATAAGTTGTTCCAAACATTTTTTTTTGAAGAATAGTAATAAGTCGTAAAAGCACTTTTGAAAAGTTACTCTAAACATATCCTTAGGTGACCTAATTTTTTTATTAAATTTGGAGAGTTAATATTAATCCTTAAATTAACTTTAAAGTAAAATATAACATGATCTTAATCGTAAAAAATAAAAATTATTTTTTATGTATTCAATATTTATACTTTATAGATATTGATGATTGATCATAGTTTTGTCAAGATCGAACGGAATTTAATGCCTTCATGCGCCGACTTATGCGTTCCAGTAAAGTTACTTTTTGATCCATCAGATTCAATGGAATCCAAACACATAACGTTGGTGATAACGACCTTATAATTACCTACTAATTAATGTCTAATGGTGCTGCCACTTGTCATTAGATTGTTAGATTAATCAAGTTGATTTAGATAGATATTGTAATTTAGAAGTAAAGAAAAGGGTCCCACTTTTCTTATATATTTTCTTTTCATAGTTTCGGTGATTCACTTCTTTTTTATTGTAAGGTCGGGGGGTTTGTCAAAGAAGGTGAAGTGAAAGATGTGCCGCCCTGTTAAGAGTGTGTATGAGCATGAGTGTGATTTGAACCAATCAATCCAAATTACAATAACTAGAAATATTTAATATTTTAAATAAAGAATTTTAATTTTTGGGTTCGACTTGAATCTGACCAATAGTTATGCTAGACTCTCGGTTTTCAAGGAACTAGTAATAGGTAGTAATTCCGTGGACCCAATTCTGAAATCAGTTCCTAAAACCCATTTTGAATTCGAATTTTAGCCTAAAAAATGAGTGTCGAGAATTAAATTAAAATTTAAACTGAGTTGTATAACTCAACTCAAGTACAAAAATTAAAACATGGGCACTAGTCGGTACGAAGAATTTAGTTAAACTTGAGTTGAATATAAGTTGATCTCTCTCAACTTGTCTAACCCATCAGACCATAGGGCATGCTTGATACGTGAGTTTGGAGGGAATTTAGTGGGTGAATTTTATGAAAATAGTCCAATATACTTTCTAAGCCCATGTTTAGATCAAAATTTGAGGTTCGGAATTTATAAGATAAAAGATTTTTTTGGCTATAGGTATAATTTTTTAGACTTATTTGAGGAAAAATGTATGAATAAGTTGTTTAGTCTATTAAATTTAATTTTAATAAAATATATTGTGTTTAGGTATAAAATTCAAATAAAATCAAAACTTTTTTTACCTAAATATTCTCCCTTAAATTATGCTTTATTGAAGAATGAATCTTTCTTTATTAAAGTCTTTCAATCAAGTTAGTCATGACACTGTAAAAATAACCAAATCACTTAAAAATGAAGCTATTCCATTCTGTAAAGTTTGAAATTACAAATCAACATTGTCATATCACTAGGCAAATGATGAAATTATGTAAGATCA